CCTGGGCTGGGAGGGACCCTCAGGGAGCGTGGAGTCCATCCAGCCCCTCCAGGGACAGCACAGAGCAGGGCAGGGGGTTGTGTGAGCGCTCAGAAGCCTTGGAAGCACAGACCCCAATCAGCCACATCCCCTGTTCCTCCACCGGGCTGTACCCGGGACAGTGGTTTGTACCCGGGACAGTGGTTTGTACCCAAGACAATGGTTTGTACCCGGGACAGTGGTTTGTACCCGGGACAGTGGTTTGTACCCGGGACAGTGGTTTGTACCCAGGATCTCTGGTTTGTACCCAGGATCTCTAGTTTGTACCCAGGACAGTGTTTTGTACCCAGGACAGTGTTTTGTACCCAGGACAATGGTTTGTATCCAGGATCTCTAGTTTGTACTCAGGACAGTGGTTTGTACCCAGGACAGTGGTTTGTACCCAGGATCTCTAGTTTGTGCCCAGGACAGTGGTTTGTACCCAGGACAGTGATTTGTACCCAGCCCCCCTGGTTTGTACCCAGTTCTTGCACCCTTTGCACCACATCCTTTGGAGAACCCCATCCCCGTGGTTATGGGCGTGGGGCACAAAGCTCTGGGAATTGTCAGTGGCCTGCAGGGATGCAGTTAATTGGTGTGATTTCCTTGCCCCCACGCTGGGGTGCTGCAGGGTGGGCAGAGGGAGCTGCAGCACTGCCTGACACTGATGGAGTGCAGTGGCTGTACAATTGAATTCCACCTCCAGCTGTAATTCTGTCGGAGTTTAGGCTTTGCTGCTGAAATAAATTAGGGAATCTGATGCCTGACTTGGCTGCAGACCTCCCCAGGTGTGGAGGTGTTGCTGCAGAATGTAAATGTGCCCTTTCTTAGCATAAAAACATTGTTCCAGAGATGGCGTTTTCGACTTCAAGGGACCATTATAAGCTCCTAATCCTGTATTGGTGACCAGAATAGTCTGTAAAAGACATTTTGGGAAGAGTTTATTGCTTTTCCATATGCTCAGGACAGCTGGATGTGCTGCACCAGTTGGCTCCAAGATCCCCAAGCTGCCACTCATCCTGGAAATGTGAATTATGTCTGGTGGCAGTTTGTGTGTAGAGAGGCTGAATACAGTGAGGGGAATGTGTGACGAGAGGAGCTAGAGCCAGAAGGGCCTCTTTAGCAATCTAATGCCTCTTTTAATCATGTGCAGTAAGATTTGCTGGGGGTGGGATGCTCTTTGGGCCACCCTCTTAATCACTATTTGTGCTGTCACTGCTGGTGCCTGAGCCAGGGCTGTTTGGGATGGGGCTGCAGGACACAGGTGAGGATCACCTGCAGTGGGATGTGGGCTCTCCTGCTGGACAAGGAAAGTTTTTCCTTACTTTTCCTACTTTGCATCACCCTCTGTGTGCTGCCCCTGTGCCCGTGTCCCAGGAGGAGCCAGGCCATTTCATCCTGACAAGTTTCTGTTGGTGTTATTTGTGTTCCTTACCTGTTTTAATCATTCAGGTTTGTTGTCGTGGAGCAGCAATGCAGAGTTCTGGACAAGTTGGCCCCATTCTAGAAGAGGAAAAAATCCCCCACCATTGTGAAATAGAAAAGCAGCCATCCACACTGCTGGGCAGGGGCTGTGCCAGGCAGGAGCATCCCTTTGGGACACCTGGCACAGGCTGGGGATTAGCCTGGTCTGAAATAGAAATCCAGTTACCCTTCCCAAGCTGTTATGTGTCGTTTGTACTGCTTTCCTTAATCAATTATAGGCTATTTTTAGCCTGCACAGGGAGTTTCTGACTTCCACCTTGTCCTGGCTGGTTCCTTACAATGGAACAGGTGACAGAAGTGGCCTCGGAGCAGGGAGGGCCACAGGTTTCACAGCACCAGCCAGGAAACATGAGAAGAAAGCTGAGCACAGTGTTCTCTAACTGTGTGTTCACACTGATCTGTCACATTTAGCTGGTGCAGAGTTTAAGGTCTGTTCTGGAAATCCCACGTGTGGTTATTCTTGCAGGCCAAGCTGGTGGGAAGTGGAAGGGAAAGACCTGGAGCAGGACAGCAGGTATCCAGCATCCAGCAGTGCACTGGAAGTCTGCTGAGCTGCTCCTTCACTGCCATTGTCCCAGGCCGTGGAAAACAAGGGGGGTTTTGCTGTGGAGGTGTAAAATAACCTGTGTGACACTCGTGTCCCTGCAGATCGCTGACCCCGAGGCCTGCGACCAAATGTACGAGAGCTTGGTCAGGATCCACACCAACTACTACAAAAACAAGGTGAGCTCTGGCACTGGCCATCACCCCTCCTTTGGGGGGAGTCCTGGGAGTGGCAGGGTTCCTGGGAATGTCCCAGGGACACATGGGCAGTGGATGCTGCAGTGCCTGGTGCCTGTGCTCACTGAGGGCAGGGCTCTGTGGGGTGGGAGCAGGGCAGTAGTTGGGTGGATAAACAGAATTCCTGGACTAAAAACAAGCTCAGGCTGTGCCAAATGCACGTGCACCACAAGTAACATGTTCATGCCTCTCTCCTCTTGCTCACCTGGGAAGTATCCACGGCTGAAAGACACAACCTTCACAGGGGTGACAGTGGAGGATTGCAGGATGATCCTGGCAACAGGTACTGGCTGTGCTTGGGCTGGGAGGGCAGTGCAGGAGGAAGGGAACATTCTGATCTTTGTGGTGCTCGTGGCATCTTTTAAACACCCCGGGGTGTTTGAGGAGGAGTAAGTTCAGAAGCAATGGAGGAGTAATTCAATACAGGAGTAACTAATTATTCTATTGAGGTGAAGAGTCGATTGGATTTTGCACTGGCAGGAACAGCAAAGTCTTTCCAAGGGCTCTTTGGGGTCAGACAGCAGGAACTGTGTGAAAGAACCATGTTTGCCCTGTCATTCCAACATGGAGCTCAGCTTCTGTTTCACCATCTCCCAATTCCCTTCAGTGTTTCTTTTGTGTTGGACCTTGGGAGGGAGCCTGTGCAGAAATGCTCTCAGTCACATCCTTTGTGAAGTGCAGAGCTGGAAGCCAGAGCAGTTTTGTTCTGCTCCAGTTGCTAACTTTGATTGCAGTGCGTGGAAAGTGAATATCAGTTGTTGGTGATAAGAGACTCCCTGCATTGATTGGAAGGGAAACCAACCTCGCCTCGGGCCTGGAATGGAAATTCGTTAAGATGAAAAGTCAGAAAAGGAAAAATCTATGGAAGGCAGAGCTGTTTTAAGAGGGTTTCATTCCTCTGCTTTTCTGCTTATCTTCCTCTGCCCCCTCCCTTCCTTCTCCCTTTGCAGACATTCTGAAACAGATGGAAGACATGAAAAAAGGGACGTGGAGGAGACTGCGGGAAAAGTTTTCTGCCAAGAAACCCGAAGAGGACTCGAAGTGAGGGCCCAGCTCTCAGCTTCTCCACTGTACATATCCCTGAAGCTCTGTGTGTTGCCATGATGAATAAAACCATTTATTCCTCTTAGCAGCAGCATTTTTGTTCAGCCCTGCCCTGTATATCCTTCATGTTTAGTGCCTCTTTTTTTCCCCTGAAAATCTAGGACAGAGCTTAACTCATCCGTGCTGAAGCCTTGTTGGAGCAATGTAAGGAGAGAACTTTGTGGTGTCAGACCTGGGCCTTTGTATTAAAAAATGGAACAGCCAGGAGCTGCACGGAGCATTTAAAGCTGTGTCAGCTGTAAATGTGCTTGTAAAGAGGAGAGGGATGATGTGAAAACCTCTCTGTGCTCGTGTTTGTGTGTGTTAGCACAGGGAACAGTGCAAGGGAGGGAGGGAGAACTTTAATCATCGCAGTTATTTTCCTTTGGAGAAGACAAGGAGAGGACTGAGGGTGACTTTGCCATGGTGACAGTGGAGCACTGTGAGAGTTTAATGGAGCTTCCAGTCAGATGCTGCAGTGCTGCTGGTCGAGCTGGCTCTGTGCAGATCCCCCTCAGCATGAGGAGGGCTCTGGGTGGTTATTGCAGAGCTGGGGGGTAAAGGCAGGATTTAATGACATGCTGGTATATAGGGCCATAAACACATTTCAAGTGCTATGCAACTTCACTGTTATGGCCTTTTTTATTCCTTTTTAGAGCTTTTATGGTTGCATCAGTGTCTGTTCTTGGGATTGGGGCTGGGGTTGGCTTGGGAAGGATGAGTGTCTGGAGCAGAGCTGTGCCAGGGCTCCACAGCACCAACAGCTGCTGCTTTTTATGAGTTTCAACAGTTTTTTCCTGGCAAGTAGTGCAAGAATTTGGAACTGCAGCAGGCTCTAGTCCAAAGCTTCAGGAACCAAGGCTGCTGCTCATGGTGGTTCTTCATGGCAGTATTTGGCATCAGACTGGAGCATCGTGTGACACCCAGAGCTGAGAGCAGGGGGCTGTGGAGCACCTTGGGTGGCAGCCCTTTTTTGGCTTCAGGGCCTGGGGTTGTTCTGTGGTTCTATTTAACAGCCCCATCACACACCAAAGGGCACAGGAAGGGAACCTTCTTTACCACGTTTAAGTTTTTATTATAACGTGATTTTGTATTTAATTTAGTTAAGGCAATTTACACTTCAGTTCTTAAGTAACAACAATAACAACTAAAAAAAAGTAAAACATGACACCAGAGATGAAACTAAAACACAGGACACCCCTTCACAGTGAACTCCTGTAAACCTGCAGGCTCCTACTACTGCTGCCCAAAGACTCTTGGTCCACAGAAGGCAAAAGACTAGTTCACACTAGGACAAGCTCAGCTCCTCATCTGGTGAGTTAATTAAATTAAATCCACCTCCTCGAGTTCAGCTCCTCTTTACTGCACCACAAGATGAACAGAATTCTTTAAGTGGAGGGGGATCAGCGTGGAGCAGGCCCAGCAGATACCATGGCTGGTTTGCAAAGATCCACAGGGACTAGTGCCACTCGGAATAAGTTAAATATTGCAGCCCTACAGCTACTTCCCCCACACCCGAGGGGATGGAGCACATGGAGATAAAGATACAACCCTCCACATTTGCAAAATAAAGAGTTATTGCAATGAGGAATAAAAGTCCTGTATGATTTATCTTCCTACAAGGGCGGTAGAGTAACACCTGGGCCCAGGTGTGGGGAGGAATCCGGCCAGTCCCTGGTCCTGGAATTGCTTACAAGCGCTCTAGGGGAGATGCTGCCTGGGGAGCCCTTTCCATGTGGGCTGTCGTCCCCAGACAGTGCCATCCGTGCCTGGAAGCCAGGGAGCAGCAGCCTCCTGGGCTGGCACACAGGTGCAGTCCCTCGGCGGGTGACGGTGACGCCGTCAGTGGTTCATGGTGTTCTGGACATCCACAAACCCCATCCTCTGCCTGCGCTTCCGCTGCTCCGTCATCTGCAGGCAAACAGGGGCAGGGTGAGGCAGGAACCAGGCCCTGCTGCTCTCACGCACTCCCCCTGAGTCTGTGCTGCTTTGAGCCTCTGCCAGAAAACCCTCCGAGTGGCACTATCAAAAAACACGTGTCCCAGGTGTCCCCAATTCCCCCAAAAAGGAGCTGCGGGAGCCCTTGGTTTGTACTGTGCTTGTACTGCCTCGGGCGGGTTCTGCCTCCCCCTCCCTGCCCTTGGTGTCTGTTCTGGGGAGGACAGGGGTTCCCCTTTCAACAGTGTCCAGACCTGTTCCTTGAGCTCGTTCAGCTGGGAGGTGAGGTGGGACACCAACTTCATGGTGGTGTTCAGCTTGTCCTGCAGGTTCCGGATCTCGTTCTGTTCCCCTTCCCCTTCATTGCTGACCAGGGACATGGCTCGCATCCGGGGGAACCAGTCCAGGTTCTTGTTCTGGAAAGGCAACCACGGGGAGGGGGAGTTGGAGGTGGGGAGAAGAGGAGGAAGGAGACCTGTGTGGGTCTCACAGGCAGCCCGTGCTTAGGGATTAAAAAATTCTCTTTGCAAACATTGTTGCACATTTTCCACAAACTGTCTGTTTCTCGTTTGTTTTGTGCAGCCTTCTGGGCTCAAGTGCAGAAGTTTTTCTTTCCTCAATTTCCTTTCCCTCTCTTGCCTTGAAACCCCCTTGAAGCCACACTCCCTCCTGCCTGGTTCAACCCTTAAACTCACGGCCCAAACCGCCAAACAGACACTGGTGGTGCTGGCTGGGATGGCAAAGTGGAAATAAACAGCTAAGGACGAACTAAGGCACTTCTGCATTACTGAATATTTTCCAAAGGGAGTTCTGAGAGCTGTTTTTCTTTGGCCAGCCCCCTGCTCTCAGCATCCCCAGGGCAGGCAGGCTGGGATGGCCCCAGGGGCCCTGTACCTTTATCATCTGTGCCACGTAGCTCTCGGGCCCCGTGTAGTCCGTCTTGTTCTTCACCCGCACCAGCACGATGAAGTACAGGTAGTTCCACATGTTGTGCTCGTATTTAATGTGCTCCTCAAAGGACACGGTCTTGTTGTCAAACTTGTCCCGTTCCAGGCCTGGGAAAGGCAGTGGAGGTTGGAGATGGGGAGGGAGGAGAAGGGGAGGGGAGAAGGTCAGAGCTGAGCAGCAGTGTGAAAGGATGTACAGAAAACACCATCCTCTCCCAGGGCTGCCCTTCAAGTGCTTTTAATAATTAGTTGGCATTTGGCACACAACAAACCTACAAACCTACAGACCAGGGGGGAATGACAGAATAACAGAATGGTTTGGGTTGGAAGGGACCTTAAAGCTCACCCAGTTCCACCCCCTGCCATGGGCAAGGACACCTTCCACTAGACCAGGTTGTTCCAAGTCTTGTCCAACCTGGCATTAATCACTGTTCAAGAGGCTTCTATTTAAAGTCCTGCTGGCTGTGCCTCTGCCCAGGTACCTATGTGCATGAAATGCACCCAGAGGATCTTTAAAAAAAAAGCACTGAGACTTACTAGGGTTTTCTTTTTTTTTTTTTTTGATTCCTTCTGCTGACTGAAAGGATTACAGAACATTTTCTGTATTTTATTTCTTTAGTAATATGCTGCTTTTTTTCCCCACTGACTAAGGGATAGTCTCAGGAATGAGATGGACAATCTGGTTTTAGTTTAACACCTCATTAACAGGATGAGGAACAACATAGAGCATTTTCCTTTCAGTTGTGTCCTTGGTAAGATCCTCACAGTGCACTGACCCCTCACTGAACAGATTTAAGTTTTGCAGTAATAAATAAAAAACAGAAACCAGCTGAAATTCTTTTCCTTCCCCCAATCTTGGAGGGGAGGAAGAACTTTGGGGCAATTCCAATGCTCACCACAGATGAAACAGGTGGTCTTCAGGATCTCTTCCTTCTTCTGTTTCTCACTCCTCAGATCAGCAAAGGTGTCAATAATGACCCCAAAGATGAGGTTAAGGACGATGATGATGACAATGAAGAAGAAGAGGAGGTCGTAGACAACCCGAGCAGGAAACAGGGACTCCTGTAACAGATGAGAGGGAGAACTGGGTGTCTTGCCCAGCTCTGCTGCAGCCAGGCTGCCCCACTGCACGGCCAGGGCTGAGGGCAGAGCTGAGGGGGCAGAGCTGGGGTTGGGAGGGGAGGAGGGAAGCGCTGGAGGGGAACCCGGGGGACAGAGCTGGCTGTGTCCCAGGCAGGCAGGGCAGTGGCACAGCAGTGAGTGCAGCAGGACTGAGCAGCAGGAAGGTCCCGGGTGCCCCCCACTCACGTCCTTGGAGGGTTTGCGCAGGATGTCCCCGACGCCGCCGCCGTTGCGCAGCCCGTGGTTGAGCACGGTGACGATGCACATGAGCAGCGTGTCACAGGCACGCTCCCACTGCTCGGGGTCAGGGGCTGCAGGGGGACCGGGGCCAAGCTCAGGGCACAGGCAGGGCTGCAGCTCCAGACCCTCCCGGGGGTGGCTGTGGCTGCAGCGGTGCAGGAGCTGGTGCCACTGTGGGTGTCCCAGCCCCGTGCCACTGTGGGTGTCCCAACCAGGTGCCACTGTGGGTGTCCCAACCCCGTGCCACTGTGGGTGTCCCAACCCCGTGCCACTGTGGGTGTCCCAACCAGGTGCCACTGTGGGTGTCCCAGCCCCGTGCCACTGTGGGTGTCCCAACCCCGTGCCACTGTGGGTGTCCCAGCCCCATCCCAGCAGCTCCCCCAGCAGCTCCTCGCCCTGCAGGCGTTTGGCCGAGTGCTCCTGGAGCTCAGCTTCCTTTATGACTAATTGAGTCTACTTCGACATTTTTTATGCCAGGGTCAGTGCAAAATTCACAGGCCTCTTGCCTAGCATGTGCCAGAATATGGGCTGCTTGTTTCCATCTTGGAAAAGCTGGGATTTTTCCCAGCTGGCTGGCAGGCAAACCTACTCTGCCACAAAGAGTCAGCCTTCCTAAGGAGCTCTCTTACCTTCCAAGGCAGTGGGCGCAGTAGAGCAGCTGATTTTGTCACTGCTGCACGACTCCATGAAGGTCTCCATGTTCCTTTGCATCCCCAAGGGATCATCTGCAAGGAACAGAGACCACAGCCCTGTCAGAGCATCCACTCTCCTCGGCAAAGCTCCTCAGCACTTCTCCACT